AATAGGCTGGAGATGCCACTTCTGCGAAAGCCACATAAACCATCCTATGTATACCATGCTGAGATGTCTCTTCTCCCCAAGTACTGAGAGGAGATACGTCCAGTCTATATCAGAAATACATGCACACCCCAAAAGCTAAAGGCAGTTCAGGGAGTATTAAAATATGAGTCACCAACTGCCCTGTTTCTGAAATTTCAGGGTGAAAGCAAAGGTGATATCCCCCTTGTGAGCCTTCGGCTTTGATCAGCATGGGAGATGTGCCTGTGCTATCTCCACCAAAGTCAATGATGCATGCTGCATTTATGCATTTCCCAGTATGGTCAGACCGGAGGATTTTGCACTAAGCAATTTATAGTAATCAAATAGAAGCAAATATTATGGATGCAAATATTTTAAATAAAAAACAGCTCATTTTTAATGCAATTTAGTTGCAGCCATCAGGTCCAGGCACATCATTTCCACTGGAGCACTCATTTGTCACATAGGTTAGGAACTGCTCTCTACACACCACTGTTAAATAGTCCCGTAGGGATGGCATCAATATTCTCAGGAAGAGGTGTGAAAATCTCAGTATTCCTCCAGTGAGTATTCTTCCAGAAATGAAAACAAATACATAAAATTCTCCTTCCCCACTCACTCAAGGAGAATATTATGCAATATCTATTTCTTTCTCGCTTGGTTTTAGGGAAAAAAATGGTCCTTTGTTACAATTAAGGGACTGATTGACTTGTGACGCTGAGACTACTATATATGCAGCTAGTAATACACACTGTCTTACCAACAATAGGTTTAGCTGTAATATAAGACGGTGGCTTCTGCTAAAGGTAATTCAGTCTCCTTGTCAGCTCACTTCTGAGTCTGCCCCCCAATAATGATCACTGTGTTGATCAGTGTCCAGTGGGAATGTTTAATAGATTACTGTCCACAGCAGAATGGAAGTTTGATCACCAAAATGCATTTCACGTAATAACTCACTTCAGTCTTGAAGCACACTGCTTTATTCACCAAGCCCTACGGCTCCCAAATGATGACTAAATGCAGCACTTAAAATTATGACTGCTGCTTTTTCAGTGGCAGGGCTTTAAACCTGAGCTACAACATTGAAGGTGCTTTGTGACATGAAAATTAAGCCAGGTAATTAAGAAACCTCTTTGTGTCAGATCATGTGCGTGCAGCACACAAAGCAAGCAGTACGTTTGTGTCAGGTTGTCTATTATATTATTGCATCACTTTAATTAGTAGCTCATAAGGTTTTTAATTATTTCAGTCAAATGTGTTAGGCCAGAAATGCTGCTAATTAAAATACGAGGGTACTTTGGATGTATGCTGGTTAGGCAGAAGTACTCCTGTTGCTAGGTGATATGTATGATGTGCAAACCATACAACACACTAGTTAGCATTCACTGAAGACATTCTTTGATGTAACAGGTTACATACCAACTACCAAGACAAGCAGGAAAGAAGAAAAAAAAAGGATGGCAAGGGAAAATGATCCAAGTTTGCTATATTATATTATAAACTTTTTTGTCTCTTTAAAGCAGATAAAATTAAAAAGCCAGTGCAACCAGCCAATGAAACACAAGCACTTTGGAAGGGCATTAAAAAGGTTATTTAGACCCTCCCCCCCCCACACCATTAACAGACACTGCCTACAGTGAATGAGGATCAGGACTGGATAAATATCTCCTTTAAGGAAATGAAATATACTGTGTGCTATCTCACATCAACATCCTCTGATGGCAGACTTGAACATGCATGACCCAGATCACTGTTGCTGATTCACAAGAACAGCATGCAGTCAAGTTGGGTGGATTTGGTGCTTTAATTTTGGAAGGGGCTGGTGATGTGGGAGGGGTAGAAGGTAAGAAAGAAGAACTATTGGATGCTGAGAGCTCAAATATTTTGAGAAATCATTCTCCTTCCTCCTGCTCAGTGCTTTTCTGTCATTTTGGCTCTCAATGTAGATAATGAAAGTCAACGAGGAAATGCAAAGAAAAACGCTGCATAGCCTCTGTGGCTCTCACTTCAATTATGTGGGAACCAGGGACAGAGCTTGTAGAGATCAAATGGAGAGGAACAAAATCAGCATGAAGCTCTGGAAATATGGCAGTAGTAGGCTCTGGAAACTACAGATGGTGCAAAAGAATTCTGAAGTGGTCATGTTAAAGAAAACTATTCCATACATCAAAATGCATGTGTTATTTTAATGATTAGGCATTCTTTTCCAAGGCACAATTCTTTTAGGAGGCTGAACAGCAAATGAAGGAAGGAAGAAACAGAGAATATTCAGCCACATTATAAGGGAACGAATGCAAAGACCCTACAAAAGTGTAGTCACAAGGGGCTAAAATACTCATCAGCTAACACCAAAGACACAAATGAAAGGAAAATAACCCCCATATTGCCCTCGAGGCAAGGGTACAGCCTTTCCTAGGGAGGGAACTCAAGATATTTCAGACTTAAAGACAGGTCACAATACAGTAGAAATCATTCAGAATGCATTGTGAAATCATTCGTAAATAAACAACAACAAACAAACCCCACACAAATGCACACATAAGCCCTGATCCTGCAAGCCGCTCCACACCGGCAAACTCTCAATACCTACGAAAAGCTCCAGTGCTGTCACTGGGGCTAAGCACAGGCATATGGGGGGACCCAAGCGGAGTAGCTTGCAGGGTCAGAGCCATAGTCTGCATTTTACAGCTTTGAATGGATAACAATTTCAATCAGACATTGAAAATTCCTGTGAATTTATTGGGTATGACATAGTATTTGATAGGGACAGAATTATTCCAATATTTCTGGGGCTCAGAGGGACTATGGCAATAGAAAGAAAGAAAAATCCTCAGTAGATTTAGACAACAACTTAAAAACCTATAGAAGTGGGAAGTGTTTAATTGCTCCCATTTGGAAACTTACTATGAATGCAGAAAATAATTTTGCATACACATCAGCAAGCCAAAAGACTTACAGCTTGCTTTCCCTGCTTAGACACTGATGCTGCTGTGAAATAGCTTAAAACGGGAAGGGTGGCAGGATATACCTCTCTGCAAAACAGATGCCTCACATTCCCACTCAAACACCAAGTAATGTCAGAGAAACAGTGAACATAGAGCATTTTTACTTCTACAGTGAATTCATTTTATAAGCATGGTAGAATTTCAGGTCACTTGCACTGCAAGGCCTATGAAATCTCTCCCCTGTACTTGTGGCCATCATCTTGGTCTCTTTCTGTTAAGAAGTAACTTTTGCATAGACACTTTTAAACATTTAGGCTGAAATTTTCAAAAGCTCTCAGCACTGGTCTAACTCTGGTCTCGTTAAAGTCAGTTGGACCATTGACTTGACAGAAGCAGAGTTAGGCCAATGCTAAGTGTTTTTGAAAATCCCACCCTGAAAGGTTTTGTCGTTGGTGCTGAAGTCAATGGGACTTAGATATGTGCTTACGTGCTTTCCTGAACTGGAACCTACAAGAACACGGCTCTCCCACTACTATATTCATATTTGGTATTTCTGTAGGTCTTCATACATTATCACACACTGTTTTAACTGCAAAATAGCTGGTTACTTACATTTCACAAGTGAAAGATATCAAGTAAAATAGTCAAACAGGTGTTTCTTCTCTGCACGGATTACCAGTTTACACTGAAGCACTCTCCCTGCCTGATCCTCAAGGAAAACTATTAAAGTCCCAATTGTGTAGCTGTTCCACCAGTGGAATTGCTATTGGCTTCAATGGCAAAACAACTTTCAGAAAAGAGAGGAAATAAACTAATTCTTTCCCCCTTCCTTTGTGTTTGTGAATTGTAGAAGTCAATGGCATATTCTCGTCATGTAAGAAAAACAGAAGCTTTTTAAAAGATGCCTTTTTAACTGAGAACTGTTAAATTCATAAAATGTTTGTCTCAGCCTAATTTATTGATAAACTTTTCACCTCCCCCCTCTCTTTTTGCTCTTCTCCACAATCCTATTACCAAATTCCTTTCAGTTTATGTTCTGGGATATATTTTTCATACTTTGCGTTCTGATTTTCTCTCTTTACCTCAATTTTTAAAGTTTCCCTCTCTTTCTCTTTAGTGCCTAAGTGTTTTTGGTTTTTTTTTTTAAGAGATCAAGGAGCCATGGAGCACTAGTTTGAAGATAAAAAGAAGTACAATACAGGTTTGCTCAGTTGACAAGGACTGCTCTAGGGGATTATAAATATAATGTGAGCATTCACTTTCCATGCACTAGTTCTAACATGAAACACTGGATAATAGAATAAGTTAATTTACTTCCATGGGACCAAATCCCAAAGGCACTGAGCACCTTTTACAATGTAGTCAATGGGATCTGAGGTCACACATCATCATATAGTATCAATTCTATGGAGCACTAATGGAGATTTTTCTCTTTTCTATGTAGAAAGAATGGGTCAGCAGCATGTCCCTTTGATATCTGTGTTTGCAATTAACAACCTTCCTAAGCCCGTGACTGTGTTCAAATTGTTTTCTAATGATTCAAGGATCCAAAGTAGAGTTTTCTGCAGTCCTGGGTATCGTTCTTCCAAATTCGCAGTATCTAGCATTCCAGAAGCAGCAGAAAGTCACTCGGGGCCATATATACCATTGATTCTAAGTAAAACTCCCCATTGGAAACATTGGATAGCTCTGCTTAAAAATCAATAGCACTACCTGGTCCCTTATATTCAGCAAAACTTGGTTTTCATAAAGGGAGTCAAATTATTATTTTCTTTCTTTAAAACGAGGAGAAGTAAAATGATTTTTTTTTCTTTTGGCTTGGGTGGGAAGTGGGCAAAGGGGAGAGTTTAATAAATTCTCTCCACACCATGCATTATGCAAATCTATTGACATCTAGCACAAACTGTTGTGTTCAGCAGCATGACAGAACATAAATGAGATCCAGAAAACCAGGACGCTAATGTTAGTAACTGAGACTTACAAATAATTTCAAAGCAAACAAACAAACAATCTCAGTGGAGGGCAGAAAGCTCTTACCATCAAAACCATCTTCCTCTGACCCTAATTCATCATCTGAACAGATGTTCAGCACATTTACCAGCATCTCTGTCACTAGAGAGGAAAAACAAATGAGAAACATGAATGGTGAGTTTTCCTCATCAGTCTGAGAGCAGGCTGTAGTGTAGTAGTGTTAATGAATGTAAGCAAAACAAATAGCACCTCATCCAATTTTTAAACCGTTTGCACATTATATTATATTTGTAGTAATATAAACTTGGGTCCAAAGATCCCATGTGGTTAATAAGGGGTTGTTGATATGGTTTCCTGGTAAAAGCTGGTCAAATTTAAAGGCACCCTGCAACAATAAGACTCTTATATTAAAAAAAAAAAAAAGCATGATCTCTCCGAGTCACTAGCAGCAACCTAGATTACAACAAAACAAAATAAATTTTAAAATCCTGCTTTACTTTTCCCTGGTCATGGAGTTTTAGTTTTGTCTTTTCACTCAGGTTGGACAATGAAACTAGACTGGTCTGTTTTACTCTTCTTCTCATGCACTGGGTAAAATGCTGTAGTTTTGAGTTCCCAGACCTGGAAGTTTTATAAACAACTCAGATATCCATACTGAATAAATAATAAAATAGATCATGAAAATGTTCCTGTTCATTTTAATGTTTTGTAATATTTATTTTATTTTAACAAAACCTAACGGTCTATGGCTAATGTAAATTGACAGTATCTTTAAGGTCAGGACTTACTGTAGATATTTCATTATTGCTGAAAGAGCAATATTTTTAATTTCTTTATTTTGTAACTTGCACTCCAAGCTGTCTACCTCAAGTTGTTCCTAAACCACTCTTAGCCCGTTTCAGACCCGGTGGCAGTGAAAGACTGACCAGAGAGTGTACAGTGTAAAAACAGCCAAAACTTACCCCCGGAGATGGGATTTAGAATTCTAGAAAAGACAGACTTACTACATAAAAATGTCAAATCATTACCAGATAGATAAGTGAAAAACTCCACTACATCTACATGTATTAAGCATAGTTAAAAGTTACCAGATATGTTTGGACTTGCACTAGCTATAAAGGTTGGAGATTTAATTTCAAAATGTGTAGTTACAAATAATTCTCTTCTGTGATAGCCACAGTGGTTTGACACATTAAAAAGGTGAACAGAATTCTGTTGTTCATAAATTAATCAGACATTTTTCTTTTTCACTTAACACTTCCACATTGACAAGGACTGGTGTAACTAACATTGTGTAATATATACAGCTTCCTACCTTGGTTGGCCTTATAGGGGAAAATAATCTACTACAGAAAACAAAAAACAAAAAACATGTAGAGCACAAAAACATATGTTCAACAGCTTTATTTTGCTAGATTCGTCTAATACCCATTTTGGATTTTCAGTCAAAGTACCAGAAGTATCACTGAGGACTTGAACATGGAGTGGGACATGGAAAATAGGGGAGAGAAAACAGGAAAAAAAGGAGAAATCCTGTGATCAGATGCTCAGTGTGGATCTTTACTACATATTCTGCACTCCTGCCTCAAATAGTTTCTTACAGTCTGTAGGAGTTTTCTGGGGAAACCATGCGCAGAATATGCAACAAAAGTCGAACATGTGACCCAGAAGGCATGATTTGCCTGAAAAATGGGACTGGCCACATTTATGGCTTAACAAATGAATTCATTTTACTGTCTTTTAAAAAGCTTTAAAGACACATCAGCAAGGACTACAGAACTTCCTCTATCAGTGGAAACATGCCTGGAGACAACAAATGCCTTCCTGGCACACCCTACAGCATCAATGAAGCCTGTCCTCAGTGTTGCCTGTCTTGTTCACACTGGCCTGGGGCATCCCACTATTGGCTTTACCTCAACCACTCTTTCAAAGAGCCTCTGTTTAGAGTATAAATGAGTAACTGAAAACTGAGCTGATCATGACTGTAAGTAAAGCCACAGCGGGCTGCATTTTCAGTTGCCTATTAAGATAAAATTGTACTACTCCATGCAGCTTGTAAGAGTTCATTTTAACTTTCTGGCAGTAACCGCTGTTGCTGCTAGGCATTCTATCATATTGCAAGGATCAAAGCAAGTTTCATAGCTCTCTAGTTTTAAGTCAGATGAACTGCTGGGTTTTAAATACTCTGTCATCATATATGAGCTTCATGTTTTGGACCCAAGTCGTCTTGCCTCCAGTTGTATACTTGCCAGCCACAGCTTAAAGTGGTCACAGAACCCCTGTATCATTGTCCAACAATGACATTTCTGTAGTATGGTAAGGCACAAAACTAATGACCCTTTCAGGGCTGGGACAGCTTAGTGAGATGTCATATATTTCAGGGGGTTCCCCTGCCCCCAGAAAACCAAGTGAAAGAGAAGAGCACAGTGGGTACCAAAGTGTCATGATCTGAATTTACTGATCAAGGGAGAAATGTATGATTGCATCAGCAGGTTAGAGGCCAGCTGATGAAGTATATATAACAGTGACACAACTGGTGTGGTCTTCTCTAACCAGCAAATGGCAGTATCACAATGCCCAAAGAGTTCAGCAAATACATTGAAGAGAATCCATGACTTTTATCTCCAACTGAAATGCAAGCCTATTTCAATAGCATTCTGATCATGGCACAGCTGTTATTACTGTGCTCTGAAAAAAAAAGGAAAAATCTTCAGAGATGCAGAACGTGGGAATGGTCAAGGCTGCACTCCCTGAAGTGTTGCTTCAGATGTAGCCTCATCACGACACCCTCAAAAGGCCTCTCTCTTAAATCCACCTCCACGCTATTTACAGCCACGCAGCCCAGCCTGCTGAACCTGTTAATGGTAAGGGTGCTTGGGTAACTCTAACCCTCAATCCCTATTCATGTTTTAGCTTCCACGAGCACCGCAAGTTACCAACCTTTCTCTCCAACAAATGGCAAGGACCAGGTAAACACATCCATGAAATTAGGAAGCCAATATGGGTGAGGGGAACAGTTGAACTGTCTGATATTCATAACATTGTTCTCATACTTCAATACTGCAGCTAAGAGGAAGGAAAGAAAAAGAAACATTAACGGCATGTGTGACAATCCCCACCAGAGGTCAAAAATAGTGATAGCACTTAAGTTCTATAAATGTGCTACAGTATATAAAACAAAAGACACCATTATAGAGATTTTTGAAATATAAAAGCTAAATGTTTCTGTGCTTATGGAGGGAAAGTTATCTTTGAAATGGCAATATAAAATAACTTAGTTATTGTTAGCATAACACGACACACAAGCCCTGAACAATTAAGTTTAGAGGAGAGCCCCGATGAAATACTTATTCAATATGGGACTAAGATACTACGTATTATTGGAGTGACCATTCATCACAATGGTGACGCTGCGACACGTCCATTCTGATGGTGTATTTATATATATTTTTTTTAAATAAGGGCCACTTAAAATTGAATTTATAAAGAAAAGAGGAACAGGGTGTCTTTAAAAGACAACTAAAAGACCTTTTAGATTAACTTTACTTTGTATATTATGTGCTAGCATTTAAGCATAGTTCTGAACGTAATCCTGCTTATGATGCTTACTGCTTGTGGTTAAAGTGGTTAAGACCACGTCACTTCAGTCTGTTCTGCTAACAGTAATCCACTTTCGTGGTATATTCAGTGGCATCAGTGCAATGTCAGCAAACAATTATTAATCCAGTGACACTATATTGTACACTGGTAATTGTGTAGGAAATAAAACTACCTTTATATGAATTAATTTCAATTTGCCTGAAAACCAGCGAAGTCTTTAGTGGTGAACTTTGTTCATAGTGGGCACCTTTGTTCCACTAGCCAGTGTTAACTTAGGGTAGGTCTACATTTAGGGTGCCATGTAGATTACAGGCACTGCATGCCCAGCTAGCATGAGTATAAATAGAGAGATGGTGAGGCACTGCTTAGGCAAGTGGAGTACAGACACGACAGAATCCTAGTGTATGTATCCTATATGGCCCTTTACATGTCCGAGCAATGCCTCCCATGTGCACACTGCTATTTTTAGCAGTGTAGTTTCCCTCTGCTGGAGTCTTTCCCCACTGCAGTGAAAGATTCTGTCTGAGGGGAAAGGCTCTGGCAGGGGAGAGGCAGCAGGAGGAGACTCCAGCAGCTCCCCACTGCCAGAGCGTTTCACTGCCACATGTAGCTATACGTTGCAGTGGGGATGCAGAGTGTCTTTCGCCGTAGCATATAGCTACACAGACCCTACATGCTACCACAAGTGTGGACAAGGCCTTAAAGTATGTCTACGCAGCCACTGGGAACAAGCCGCCCAGCATGGGTAGACAAACTCATACTAGTAGGGCTTGAGTTAGCATGCTAAAAGTAGCAGTGTGGATGTTGTGGCTTGGTCTGAAGCTTGGAATCTCAAGCCTAGAGGGATCAGGTGAGCTTGAGAGCCTGAGCCACAACAGCCACATTGCTGTTTCTAGCATGCTAGTTCGAGCCCCTCTAGTACCTGTCTAGCCAGGTTGAGAGGTGTGTTCCTAGTTGCAATGTAGACATACCGCTAAAGTCAATATTTGCATAATATTTGATGACTATATTATATTTCAATGATGTTTATAATTTACATTTGTCAAAATACAGTATGGCAAGTCAGAAATAATTCCCCCCTGCTCCCCATTCCCTTTCCCACACCTGGTCTGTATAAAGCAGATAAGGTATTGCTGCTTTAATACATTCTATCTTAAATCCACATTGTAAACAAGGGACTATGTGACCTTCAGATGTATTAAAAAGAACCCTTCTCTCTCAATCCCTCCATTTTGTGCCAACCATCATGGTACATGGGTAGCGCAGGACATTCCGGAGCCTAATCTCTCAGGGTATAGAAGGCGGCTGACGTAATTTATGTAGTCTCCTTGCCCAATCAGACAATTTTCGTTCAACAAATCATGTTTGACTCTTGGGCATTCCATAGTTACACAGTTGGCTACTCTGCTTTCCAGTAAAATGAGGTGGCTAAGCACTGCTTGTCTGACTTCAACAGAAATGGGAGAGCTAATGGCAGTCCTTTCAATAAGCATTCTTCATATTTTGCCTGAGGTCACCAAAAGGAGATGAAGAGTCATTCTCTTCATATGTGGAATAGCATGTATTTCATTACTGGCTGTACAGCAAGAATGAATCAATGCTGCTTTTGAAGCCAAATGAAAAAGGCGTATTTAATTATTTGAAGATGAATTTAATATTCTAATGCTCACAAATATTCATTTTACTGAGTTTAGCTGGTTTCCCTCCCCTACTTTTCATTTTTCCATTCATTAAGAAAATGTTTAAAAATTGAAAAAGTTAAAGAAATAATTTTTACAAGTAACTTTGAGAAGAGGTCTCTAGAAATGCCTCTGATTCATTGACAGGCCAGTACGAGAAACATCCGCCAAAATATGAATGCTTTTTAGTATTCTTTTAAAAAAGTGAAGGAAATTAATAATTGATTTTGAGATCATCTAAATGCTACTCTCACTTACACCACATTAATAATGTATCTATTTGAACTGCACATCCCTATGAATTAAATTTAAAATAACAATTGACACTTCATTTGAAACTTTTCCTCCTGGTTAAAGGCAGTGGTGAGCTGGAGCCGGTTCCCACCTGTTCACTAGAACCGGTTGTTAAATTTAGAAGCCCTTTTAGAACTGGTTGTTCCGCGAGGGAGAACCGGTTCTAAAAGGGCTTCTAAATTTAATCGGCCAAAAGTGGTGCCTTAGGCGCCGACTCCATGGGTGCTCCAGCCCTGGAGCACCCAAGGGGAAAATTTGGTGGGTGCACCCACCAGCAGCTCCCCTCCCCTCCCGCCCCGCCCCACCCCCGGCCTGGCCCCAGCCCCAGCTCACCTCCGCTCCGCCTCCTCCCCTGAACGCGCCACCCCGCTCTGCTTTTCCGCCCCCAATCCCAGACTTCCCACGAATCAGCTGTTCGCGCGGGAAGCTGGGGCAGGCTGAGAAGCCGGCCGCGGCTTCCTGCTCAGGCCCAGGGAGGCGGAGATGAGCTGGGGGGTGGGGGAGGAGGCGCGAGGAGGGCCGCCTGCGCCGCAGCAGGTAACCCGGGGGGGGGGGGCGCAGGGGAACAGCTCCCCGCCCCAGCTCACCTCCGCCACCCTCGGCCTGAGCGGGAAGCTGCCGCCTGCTTCTCAGCCCTCCCCCTTCCCGCCGAACAGCTGATTCGCGGGAAGCCGGGGGGCGGAGAAGCACAGCAGGGCAGTGCGTTCAGGAGAGGAGGAGAAGCGGAAGTGAGCTGGGGCCAGGCGCAGGGCGGGGAGCTTCTGGTGGGTGCTCTGCACCCACCAAACTTTCCCTGTGGGTGCTCCAACCACGGAGCACCCAGGGAGTCGGCGCCTAAGGTGCCACTTTTGATGTGATCAGTGGGGGAGCGGCTGCTCCCCCTGCTCCCCCCCAGCTACGCTCCCCTGCCCCTGAGAGCCAGAGGGACCTGCTGGATGCTTCCTGGGAGCTGCCCCAGGTAAGCACCTCTGGGACTCCCCACCTTGCTTCCCAGCAGGTGCCTCTGGCTCTTAGGAGTGGGGTGGGCACCCACTACGGTGGCCCACGAGACCCTCCTGCCCGGTTCTGGGGGCAGTCAGGGGAGAGGGGTGGATGGGGCTGGGGGGGGGCGTCAAGGAACGCGGTGGGGGGGGGTGGATGGGGCAGGAGTCCCGGGGGGCGGGGGTGGGCAACAACTCCCTCGTGGGGTGAGGAGGGAACCTGTTGTTAAGGTTTTGGCAGCTCATCACTGGTTAAAGGGTAGTGAAGTTACCTATAAATCACCTGAACAGCAAACGAGAAACACACTGTATAACAGATACATTTCAAATAAAGTAGAAAAATTCCCTTAGGTAACATTATACAGTATTTACAAAAGAATAAAATACTGCACAGTGGTTTCAAAGTGCCACACGGACTTTTCTGAATTTGTATTTTAAATGTTTTCAATTTCCAAACGCGGAAGAGAAAATAATTAGTTTTTTGTGTTAAGCAACCAAGCAATATGACTTATAAAATGTAATCACAATAAGAGCCGGTTTATTCATATAACTCAGACTACAGTTTACAAGATGGTAGTCTGCAGTGCTTTAGGGAGGAGCAAAATTGCAGCTGCGTCAAGAACACCACACTTCCTGGCAAATTACCAGTTTACCTGACCTTTTTAACCCTAAAGGGTTTCCTCCCTGCCCCCGGCAATGGGTATTTTGTTTCTTGAAATGAGATATTTAGCCTCTTTCCCTATAGCTCTAATGGTACTTCCCTAATTGAAAGGAGAACTTCTGAACCAACGGAGAAGCTCTCACCTTACCCGATCACTCTTGTTACAGTGTGTATGGTAACACCCATTGTTTCATGTTCTCTGTGTATATAAATCTCCCCACTGTATTTTCCACCGAATGCATCCAATGAAATGAGCTGTAGCTCACGAAAGCTTATGCTCAAATAAATTTGTTAGTCTCTAAGGTGCCACAAGTCCTCCTTTTCTTTTTGCGGATACAGACTAACACGGCTGCTACTCTGAAATTTGTAATTTCAGCGTATCAGGACTCGGTGCCAAAATCTTAGTTGCTGCAGGTGACCCAACTGTCCTGGAAGAACATTTATCTTTGGAAGTTTTCATGAGCACTAGTTTGCAGGGTATCTGATCACTGGGGTTAAAAAAAAAAAAAAAAAAAATAGGGAGCCACAGGATGCATTACTTCAATTAGAAAACAATCAAGGCAAAATAGAAAATTGAATCTCTTGAACATCAGCAATGTCACTAAGTGGAAATCACACTGGTCCAAAGTTCTGGCACCTGATACATTCACTCCTGGATCATGACAAACAAAAGCACTATTATATCAAGAAGCCAGTTGCAGTTTTAAGATCTATTATAATCAACCAGAGCAAGAAACTTATGGTTTTATTAATAGCCATATGAATTCTAATATGATTTTAGCAATCACTATCCTAAGGAACAAGGAGATTTAGGAACCAATATTTTATAACATTTTATATAATCTAACCATG